AAGGCACATGGAAGGCTGTTACCTTCCCACCAAAGTGGTCCCTATTTTTCTACTTGCATTTTTACATGCTTTCGAACTGCTTAGTTGGCAGAAGCTGGGACAAGTAACGAGAGCTCACTCTGTTATGTGGTGCTAGGGATTTGAACTGCCGAACTGCCAACCTTTCTAATTGACAAGCTCAGTGTCTTAGTCGCTGAGCCACCACGTCCACTATATCTCAATTTTAGGTTTTTATCTGTAAATTGGATATAAGGGACATGTTATAAAATAATTGTAAAAATGAATATGTATGAATGTTTTGGACTATATATATCTAAGAATATATAAGATGCCCAGTTATTGTTTCCAGGGACAAAGTACAGAAAAAAATATGCTGAGCCAAAAAAGAAACCTTGTTTATCTGGTGTTTTCTATGTTGGCCAAGTGAAGGGCAGGAATTAGTGTGCAATTAAGATGTGGGTTAAACTTGTTTGTTTTAAACTTAGGTAGGGTGGAGTATGTTCATATGTTAGCAAGCAAAACAATGTACCTACTGATTTGGAGACTTCAGCCCCAGGTGCTGAAAAATTTCTTGGAAAGGAGAGAAAAGAGTTAGAATTAAATGTTGAGTTGTGTTAGTAAAGAGTTAACCAGGGGCTATTACCACAAGGGTATATTGCAGGTCATGAAATGTTGACCTAAGTGTATACCAATCATTTAAGGATGCCTATGCTAACAGTGATTCTTATCAAGATGCCCATGTTGTTTTGGACCTATGTTGTCTAACCTTTCATTGTGGGATTTTATTAAAAAAAATCCTGTATGAAAAAAGAAAGATGCTTCCTTAGGAGACTTCAAATGTGAGGTTTTTCAGTGGAATAAAAAAGAAAGTAAGAACAATGGAGTCCCTATGAAACGAGACAGGTGCCTGCATGGCTATAACCTCATTTAGAAGCTCACACTTGGTACCTAAATGGGTAGGACTACAGTAACCAGCATGCCCAGGGCATAATGCCATTATCTTGTTTCTTTTTCTTTTCAGGGGTAGATAGCAAGGCTTTTATTTATTTTGTTGCAGTGTCATTTTTTATGGAAGCCCCTGAACCTCCTTGAAATAATTTATGACAAAATAGCGTGCAATACCAGAGCAGCAATCCCTTTCTAGGAAGATCAAACAAAGTTTCCTCTAAAAACAACTGCTACAATTTCTAGAGATAATAGCAATAATAGACTAGCAATAACTAGGTTTTTCAGGGTTTTTTTTCTACAATATTTCCAGGTAGTTGAGGGAAATTAATTTATATCAAACTCTAGAGTATTTATAGTGGGGGTTTTTTTTTCAATAATCCAGCCTGCTTTTTGAAAATAAAAGAAAGGAGCACAAGATTCAATGAAATCTGAAGACTAAATACAATATAAAAGATGCAATATCAACATTCCTTTTAGCTCCTTTTATAAAATTGCACTTGATTTATAAATCTGTTGTATGCAAACACACTTTTGGTTTATAACTAATTAAATACACAGGAATAGGCTTCACTTAAAAATTTTAAATTTAATTTATAACAAAATTTTACCGAACAAGATGCGTAACAGAATTGAAACAGAAAATGCTATCATTTTTAGGGACGTACATAAGTGCACCATCGTGCCTACCGTCCCTGTTCTATTGTCCCCATTTATCCATACCTATTTCCTGTTTTCTTACTCAGGTTTATACTTATATCTATTATCTTGTAAGCGATTGACAAAGCAAATAAATAAATAAATAAATAGTTTTGCCGCTTTAGTAACAACCACTTTATCACTCTTTCAACGGTTTAAGACACTTACTTTGTACAAAAACAGTAATATCTTCCCTACTAAACCCAGTACCAAGACAAGCAGCATCAGCAAAAGGTTTAGTGAAACCTAGCCCCTTTTTTATATTGGGTAAAACTACAGAAAAAGATATTCATGCTAAGTAGAACTCCACCAATTCTTGATGTTAGAACATAGAATAATAGAGTTGGAAAGGACCTTGGAGGTCTTCTAGTCCAACTCCCTGCTTGAGCAGGAGGAGACCCTATACCATTTCAGACAAATGGTTGTCCAATCTCTTTTTGAAAGCCTTCAAGGATGGAACACCCACAATTTCTGAAGGCAAGATATTCCATTGATTAATTGCTCTCACCTTTAGCAAAATTCTCTTTAGTTCTAGATTGCTTCCCTCCTTGGTTAATTTCCAACCATTGTTTCTTGTCTTGCCTTTTGATGCTTTGGAAAATAGTTTGACCCCTTCATCTTTGTAGGAGCCCCTCAAATATTGGAACAGTGCTATCATGTCCACACAATCCTTCCCCCTCATTAGACTAGACATACCCAATTCCTATAACCATTCTTCATACCTTTTAGCTTCTGGTCCACTAGTAACCTTTGTTGCTCTTCTCTGCATTCTTTCCAAAGTCTCAATATCTTTTTTATATTGTCATGACCCAAAATGGATGCAGTATTCCAATTGTGGTCTTATGAAGGCTTTGTAAAGCAGTACTAAATCTTCATATGATCTTGATTCTATCCCTCTATTAATGCAGCCAATGATTGCATTGGCTTTTTAGCTGCTGCCACATGCTATTGGCTCATAAGTGATTGTCCACTAGGACTCCCAAGATCCTTCTTGCAGTTACTGACATTAAGCTAAATTTCACCTTGTCTACACCTATATATAGTTGTTTTTTCTTACCTTTGCATGTATTTGTCGAATCAAACATATGCCAATTTTGGGTTTGGTCCTGAATGTAAAGGTCGCCCATGAATAGTTTCAACTATCAGCAGAGGTTAAAACTAGGTATTCCTTGATCTTTGATAAATTTTAAATGCATAAACTTGACAGTTGTTCCTGAGTTGATAATAACTTAAGTGGTTATTTCTGGCTTGCCAGGCAGGTGCAGAAGAATGGTGACTAACAGGTGATTCAAAAGTATACTATGATGTATTTGGGCTTGAGCTGCAACTATTGTTCCCTAATTCAGTAGCCTCTCTTAATCGGGTGGGATCTGTTTTCTGAATGTGACCAGATATTGTGCCATATGTAATATTTCCAAATTCTAGATATTAGTTATGGAAATCCAAAGAAGCAAAATAAATCTCAGCATTGTTAACCCAGAGATAAGTAATGGTTTTTGACTGAAGATATCCACTCTAGCCTGGTATTTTAATTGGATGCCTATGGGTAAGTCAGCATTCTTCAAAGTTACTAGGAAGATAAAAGAGAATAACGCCTATAAATGTTTTAATAATTCCTTGAAAGAAAGGCAGAACATCCATCCAATTATACACATGGATACACATGATGTTATTTAGAAGCTTAAACACCATATTTAAGGAGCCATATTATTATAGCATATGCTTCTATTATACTTTTTCTTTTTAGTTATAAAGCTCTTCTACTCTATTTTTGAAAATCTATTATTATGGAATATCATTCAAGTGGCAAAGGTGGAATTAGTGTTGGCTTAAGTTTAGTTTATTTAGGACGAGAATTTATACATATTTCTAAAATTTGGTATCATTCTTCAATTGCAGTTAGAATCTGTTAGCTCTTTTGTCAAACTGCAGTCATAGAAAGTATGGCAAAAGCTCCTACTGAATTTTAAAATACTTTTACACACACAATTTGCTATTTGAATCCATAGCTGGTTTGATCTGTTTCCTACAGTCACCAACCTTTCTCACTTCAATAGTTTCCAAATGTGTAGATGTTACAATTCCCAAAATTCTGCAAGAGCACTTTTGCTCACAATTCGGGGAATTGCAGTTCAGTGTAACTGGTCTGGAAGTCACCAGTTGTGGAAGTTTGGGCTACAAAAACAGCAGAATGATATGTATAATTTCAAAATGCAGGTTAGTTAGTGTGTGTGTGTGTGTGTGTGTGTGTGTGTGTGTGTGTGTGAGAGAGAGAGAGAGAGAGAGAGAGAGAGAGAGAGAGATGCAAGTTTAAAAACAAAGCGTAAATGTAATTGTTCTACCCAATGGTTTACAATGCCACTTTTCAGTAAAATCTGCAGGCAGTTTACTACACCATTTAAAACCATCATTCGCTCAATACACTCAAATGATATTGTTGATTCTACCATCTCATTTCACTTCCTACCGGGCTGGTTCCCTTTGCACTCAAAAATATTTGTGATAATTTAAAATATATGTAATTTTTATTTACTAGGAGGGAATGCCCTGAAGTATGTCACAACCTGTGACTACATCTCCAAATCCAGTTCTCTTCAATATAGAATATAATAGAGGTGAATCCATGGACCTAAACTAGTGTTAATGAATTAAGGTCTTCCTGAAATGGACTTAGTGCTTAGTGTACCTATTATTCCCTTTTAACAGAAGTAGTAAACATTAGCAGCAGGGGTGGGATTCTACCAGTTCTCACCTATTCACTAGAACCGGTTGTTAACATTCTAAGCAGTTTGGAGAACCGGTTGTTGGAAGAAATTACTGGCCTAATCCTGTAAGGAAGGCAGGAAGGAAACATTCTGGTGTTGCTTACAGAAACTGCCTCTCTGTTAACCCTTATTACATTCTTGGCAGGACTAGACTTTTCTGGAACTTCTCTGGAGTTTTTCCCCCCTCCTTTGCTGGTACTTTGCTTGTGTGGAGTGACCATTTAAAGTTACAATGGCACTGAAAAAAGTGACTTATGACCATTTTTCACACTTACAACTGTTGCAGCATCCCCACAGTCATGAGAGGCCAGGCAAGGAGATGCATGCCTCGATGTGAGTGATATAGAGTTGAGCACGCCTAGCCAATAACATGACCACCAAGCCACGCCCACCAACTAAACCACGCCCACAGAACCGGTTGTTAGAAAATTGGAATCCCACCCCTGATTAGCAGTTATACATGGAAAAGGTGTAGGATTTAATAGCAGCAAAGAGCATGCCTGATTATTTTCTTTTCTTTTTCTAGCTGGAGAAATAGAGCCAATTGTATTTCTTGAACAGTCAAATGTAAGACAACGCAAAACTGAGGACATGTCCAGGAAATCTGAAGACCAGCAAGATGCTACCTTGGATGAACACAAAGTTCATGAAATTCCTCTTGAAGATGAAAGCACCCAGAGCACTGCAAGTTTGGGGAGGCAGACTATCCGAAAGCAGAGCAAGCTTGAGGACTGGACCAGCCAAGAAGACAACATGCAAAGTAGCAGCTCAGGATATCCCAATATGAAGAAACCACAAAACCCCCAAGATACTGCCAGTAGATGGTCAGGGCAAGGTAGAAGAAGACAAGAAAACCCAAGTTGGACCACAGAGAGGTACTCCTCAGGGATACCCAATCCAAAGTGCCACCGACCCTGGGACTGTTCCACCGAATGCCAAGACCCAGAAAGGTAAAAAAGATTGGAATGGAGGAAAACAGGTTAGGTGATATCCCTCCAGATTACTAGGGTGTATTTTCTGTTGAGCTCAATTTGTGCCATATTCTATTGGTAAAACAGAAGAATGAGAGTCGTGTGATTCTGTGGCACATATAATCATATACAGAGATGAATCAGAAGAACATTCACCTGAGTGTAGGGATTAACTGAGGGTATAGTGAGAAGGTTGCTCACACAGCATGCTAAGCTGTAAACATTGCTTAAAACCCTTGTGGCAGAGTTCACATAAGATGCTACATCAAAACAGAACAAATCACATTATCGGCTAACGTGATGTTTGAATCCAGAGAAAGTATTTAGAATTGTGTTCACAAGAGGAGCAGAGATGAAGAAAGACACATTTTATACCTTACAAAAGAACGTTAAGATTTAGACCTGGGATAATATAATCTCTCCACATAAAAAAACAGCTCTCTACCTTGTAGTAACAAGATACGGATAGTCCTTGACTTATGACCACAATTGAGCCCAAAATTTCCATTGCTGAGCAAAGCAGCTGTTAAATGAGCTTTGCCCCATTTTATGATCTTTTGGCTACACTTGTTAAGTGAATCGCTGTAGTTTTAAGTGAATTGTGCAGTTGTTAACTGAATCTGGCTTCCCCCATTGAATTTGCTTGTCGAAGGCTACAAATCATGATCACATGACCCTGAGTGCAACTGCCATAAATATATCCCAATTGCCAAGTCCCCAAATTTTGATAATGTCACCAAGGGGGTGCTGCAACAGTCATTAAGTGTGAAGACAGGCCATAAATCAAAAGTCTGTAGAGATTTTCAGTAATCCAGGTCATGGTTGTCCCAAAGGACAACCAAGAAGCTTCTTCAGCTCTGACAGGATAGTAGGAAATAGAAGGATTTATATTCCTTGCAGATAGCTGATAATCTGCATCCTCTATCTGCACCCTCTAAAAAGATGCAGTTGCCAGTTGTCTGCAAGGAATATAAATCCTTTCATTCCCCACTATCCGGTCAGAGATGAAGAAGCTTCTTGGATGAGAAGCAGAGGTGGGTATTCAGCAGGTTCTGACCAGTTCTGGAGAACCAATAGTGGAAATTTTTTAGTAGTTCGGAGAACCGGCAAATACCCCTTCTGACTGGAGATTTTACAGTATCCTTCCCCTGTCACACCCACCAAGCCACGCCCACAGAACCAGTAGTAAGATTTTTTGAATCCTACCACTGATGAGAAGCAAAATGTCTTCAAAAGAAAAAAACAAGGAAGTCCAATTGCCTCCTGAACAAACACCTTTGGGAGGCCATAAGTCACTTTTTTCACTGCCTTTCTAACTGTGAATAGTTACTGAATAGATACTTGCAAGCTGAGGATTACCTGCAATAGGCAGACATTCAATAGTTTCTGTCTTGCTTCTTTCCAACATTGCTCATCTCTTCTTGGAATCATTGTCCATCCTGCCTGCCTGCCTGCCTATTGTGCAGAATGCAATGTCAGGCAAATAAAAATAATCAGGGTAACTGAGAAAATGAGTGATGCATGATAAAAGCATCTTGCATTTATAAAGATCATTGTAATGGCTGTCTATATGAACTATTCTTCTGCATGAATTACTTTCCCTGGTACAAAGCAATGGACTTCATCCCCAAGCTTGGGAAATGCAGAGTGACACCTGTAACTCTAGCAAACTTCAGGCATGTGAATTGTAGTTGTTCAAGGAAGGCTCTGCAAACATCTTGGCAGCTTATCACTGCTCACTGACTTGAAAGGTATTTTGTAATTCTTTGTAGCCAACGTGAACAAACCAATGGGATTCAACAGCCTTAATCTCACAATAGGAACTCTTGTGAAAGTAATTATTTCGATGTAGCAGTTGAGTTGCATCAACCTGATCTGAATCCGTAGGTTTCTATGTACAGTCTGCTTGTCCTTGGCCAAACTGCTCTGCTGCTTACCTGCACTCTTCTTTCTTTAACAGACAAGCTTTGTTCAGGCTTTTGGTATCTGTACTAGAAAAAAAAAGTGCTATGGAGAACTTAAATTAATTTATAGGTAAGGTAGATCAAGCTTTCATTTATAAAGGGATTTTATTTATTTATTTATTTAGAAGATTTGTACGATTACCTGTCTGGGCTACAACTCTGGGCTGTTCACAACAGCAATATCATGTTTATACTTATATATATTATCAAATGCATGCTTGACAAAATAAATAAATAAAATAAATAAAAATAAAAACTGTAAAACATAATCATGAAATAATAAAATTGTCAAACAAAAGCAAAAATCCTGCATCTTACACTTTGGTTGCTTTGCAGCCAGTTCCAATTACCTAATTTCGTTCTATCTATTCTGTTCTGTTCTATTCTTGTGCCTAGAGTTTCAAAAAATGGTCTTGATGACCTTCTCTGAAGCTAAAAAGAATGGAGCATTCCATAAAGTAGGCGCAGCCATGGAAAAAGCACACTTTTGAAGTCCCATGAGGTGATAGAATTTCAGGGGATAAAATGCTTATTGGATATGGTAGGACAGGCAGATACTCTTAGGGAGAGGCAGTTCTGCAAATAAACAGGCCCTATGACATGTACAGTTTTAATGGTGATAACCAGCACTTTGAATTGCATCCAGAAGGAAACTGGAAGCTCGTGCAGCTTGGGCTATAGAGATATAACATGGGTAACCCTTGGAACACATAATACTGTGCACACAGCTGCATTCTGGACCAGAATGGATCATCTCGGTTGTCAATCTCATAAAAAATTAAACTTTTTTTAAAAAAATATTCAGAATATATGATCCATAAGCCTGGTTTACACAAATATATAAGATGCTTGTAGCAAATTACAGGTTGTGGCTGATCTGCTGTAATTAATGATTTTAGGAGAAAGGTAGCTTTCAAGTTATACATCAGCTCTCAATTTTATAAAGTAAATCTTGGACTCTGTCTGAAAACCCATAGAATGCACACCTGTGTAGTGAAATAAGAGTAGCATAAAAAAATTTCTATCAGAAATGAAAGAACTTGCAACTTCATGCAATATCTAACTAAACCAGCTACCTGTTTCTTATTAATAACCTGAATCTTGAAGAAATGTCCTCTGCTTTTTTGTTTCTGGACTTAATGTGGTAATTTAGCCATTTATCAGAACGGATGAAGAGATAGTATGCTCCGTTTGTTTTCCCAATTCAGACATATAAAAAATTGGCTCTGTGCCCCAGAGTTCAGTTCTCATATTTTAAAAGAACAGTTTTTTTTCATCCGGGACAGTGGGAGGAAAAGGAAGAGAGGTTGAGCGCATCTTTTGCACAGTGTATGTGCAAAAGGCCATGCCTGAGAGAGGGTCTATAATGCAGATACTGCTTGGCATATAAAACAGCAGATAGACTGACAAAAGGATCAAAATCATGAGTAGTTGGAGAAGATGGGAATTGTGAACTACCTCTTGTAAAGGATACTAGATTGGGGCAAGTTGCTTCAAGCTAGAAGTGAGTATGACTGGCTGGAAGCCCGAGCAAGGATACAATTGTCCTAAGAAGTTAGATTATGTTCCACTACATCAACATTTTATATTTTGATCCCAAACATGAAAGAAAATACTTTGATTAGTATCTGCAAATGACCACCTGAGTTTGTAAGAAAACCATGAGAAAAGTATGGCAGCAGATATTCTTGCTTGTGGCCCAAGAGGATGACATTCTTTAGAAAAAGAATGAGACACGTGTGGGTCAAAGGGGAAAATATGATTTTGAGTCTTCTCTGAAGTAGAAGTCTTTGTATGAAGTGTTGGGAAGCCCAAAAGGTATTAAGTCATGGCAGAAATTCCCAGACTCTGTTAGTAAAGTAAAGAAAGACAACATGATTATCCATCCGGTTCTTCCAGGGCACACTCTGCCTTGCAGGATCAGGATTAACATAAATGATAAAAAGAGTGGGACTCCTCTATAACTCTTTTGATTCTATGGGTTTTTGTTTTCTCCTAGTACAAACCCTTACGCTGACCTAGTGCACTGCTTACGTGCTGCCTGGATGACAGGAAAGACACATCCAAAAGAATATCGGATCCATCAACTGGAGGCCCTATGCCACTTTCTGGATGAAAGGCAGGCAGATATCCAGCGTGCCCTGTGTGAAGACCTACACAAGGTCAGTAAGCCTCCCATCCAGAGCCTCTGGCTGCTCAGAGGGAACATGCAGATGGACCTGTTTGCCATAATAGATAAGGCGCAGCTATTCCATTTTTCTCTTTGCTGGATTTCCCATGAAAAAGTTATGAACAGGAAACAATGTATGGGCCATGAGAGCTGAATTTAGCAAGGTGGCAAGCAGAAATTATCAGTCTACAGAAAATCGTTATGTAAACATAGTTGACCATTCTCCTAAAATGATTGAGTACAGCCAAATATATATTATCTCAGAAAAGTGGGCAGAAAAAGTCTAAACTTATCAAGACTTTGATTTCTTTGCATAGTGAATAATTTGACAATATATGGCTTCATTTGCAATTGAGTATGTCTGCAAGCCTTCTGCCTGATTAAGGGTTAAATATAGGTAGTCCTTGACTTACTATCAGCCTCACATTTCTGTGGGTAAGTGAGATATTTGTTAAGTGAATTTTGCCCCATTTCACGACCTTTTGATCCACATTTGTTAAGTGAATCACTGAAGGTGTTAAGTTGGTTCCATGTATTAAGTGAATTGGGCTTCCCCATTGACTTTGTTTGTCAGAAAGTTGCAAAAGCCAATCACATGACCTCAGGACACTGCAAATGTCATAAATACGAACCAGTTGCTAAGCATCTGAAGTTTGATCATGTGACTAAGGGGATGCCACAATGGTATTAAGTGTGAAAAATGGTCATAAGTCCCTTTTTTCAGGGCTGTTGTAAGTTTGAACGGTCACAAAATGAACTGCTATAAGATACTACCTCTATCTACCTCTTGTAAAGAGTACTGAACTAAGCTTAGTATCATGTCCTGGTGTAAAGCTCAAACATTCAATTTCTGGAATCAATTGGGATGATAGCATGATAAAGGAATATGTGCTGAATGGGACACAACTTTGCTCGATGAATTGCTTCACAGTTCACTTCTTATACTCAGTAGAGACATCACTGATGCACCTCATTTTGTCTTTCTCCTCCCCAGCCCTGCTTTGAAACTGAGTTCACAGAGGTTTTGTTGGTCAGAAATGAACTGGCCAATGCTCTTAACAACTTATGCTGCTGGATGAAGGATGAAAATGTGCACAAGAATCTAGTAAGAAGTTAAACAGAATGGGCGAAGAACAAATGGAAAGGAATGGTTCTATGTTGGACTGGGATGCAAATCTACAGGATGCATTATTTCATCAAACAGAAGATGGGCTTTCTACCTGTGTTCCTTTCAAAACAGGTGGATGCTCATCTTGGAAGACAAATCTCTAGCTATTGGGAGTTTTAATTTTCTGTCTTCCTTACCTGTTACCCTTCCCATGGTATTTGGGAATTACCAGACCTGTAATTTAATGTAACAGGTTGATATTATGTTATTGATATATACAGGTTCTGGGGCAACTTCCAAATGAGGGTTTTTAAGGCCATACTTTTTCTGCCATCAGAGGAACAAGTTCCTGCTGCTTTTTAAGGATAATTTCTGCACTCCAGTTTAAATTAGTTGAAGTCGCATTGCTTTAGAACAGACTTTTCCAATGTACTACCCTTCAAATAAATCAAATTATAATCTTCATATTTCAGTTAATCCTAGTTACCTATATCTATTGTTTGCTTTCTAGTCTGTATGATCAGCAATCTCATCAGTGCACAGTGCAAGAGAGATTAAAATGTTTTAAGTGTTATGTGTGAAATTATTCTTATGTTTTACGTGCATATTTAGGCAAATGTAGGAATGTAAAGCCAATGGCCTGATTTCAGAGTTCTTTGCAAGGTGTTGATTCAAGCTTTTAGTAGGAATAACAGCAGTTGCCAAACCTACTGTTAGAAGAGAGAGAAAAGGGGGTGCCACAAAGAAGAAAAGATCAGAATGAATCACCCACGTATAGAATAGAATAGAATAGAATAGAATAGAATAGAATAGAATAGAATAGAATAGAATAGAAAAGAAATTTTTTATTGGCCAAGTGTGATTAAACACACAAGGAATTTGTTTCTGGTGCATAAACTCTCAATGTACGTACAACAACAGTGATAGATCATTAACCTAGTCATGCTTGGATTTGCCCTAACCTGAATGGTTTCTTTGGCCCTATCTACAACTGATACAAGTTCCTTACAGCCATCATGGAGATTGACCTTCAATATAATTTTTAAAATCCCATATTTGATATAAAGTCAATGATATTGCTCCCTGATGTCCCCAGAGCCCTGTGGAATGTGTCATAAGATCAAACATTTTGGCCTTTCCCCTTGATTTTGGTATTAAATTTACATGTAGTTGAGTTGCAGTTGTTAGATGGGTTTGGGGAAAGTTGGAGGTTTAAAGCCTTGAAGCCTAATGGGGTCCTTCCATTCCTTAACCCTCTCCTCCAAATGTAAAAAAAATACATTCTTCACAATTCATAGGACTTCTAAAATTGATCATTATTTTGGACCCTCCCTTCCATGATATAGTAATGCATCTGTGTTTGTGTCAGTTTCCCAAGCTGCAACAAAATAAACACTCATAATCAATTAGCAGGGGGAGTTCTTTTTTATACCAGAAATACTTGGTGTAAATATTGAGATGGAATCTTACAGATATTAAACAAAGTATTAGCCAAACAAATCAAGCATACATGACTGAAAATGAAAACACTTTGGCACAGGTTTTCAAATGTCTGTGGTATTAAAGCCTTGCCTTAAAAAAAAAAAGACAAAGGAGAGGATAAACAATATTAACTCATATGCATTGCAATTATTATTTTGAAAGCAGGCATCAAATGGCTTTATATTTTGTAGCTCATCAAGCATTTCTACTCTTACAAAATAATCTATTAATTTCCTTTTCTACTTCACCCAATTGCTGTCATGGATTTTTCTGTTTGTTTGCTTTTATAGATGACACTGATGGATTGTGCCTTCATTCGCAAGGATCCATATGGTGTGGTGCTGATCATTGCACCCTATAACTATCCTATCCATTTTACTTTGATGCCCCTTGTGGGTGCCATTGCAGCTGGTGAGTAACAAGTTATATCTCCAATTCATTTTAGATATTACATCTCCTTTGTGTTCTTCCAAGAGTTACAGACATGTGATGGCTGTTTATCTGTTGCAACCTCAGTAAAGTATCTTCTCCCCATATTAGGGAATTGTGTGGTTCTCAAGCCTTCAGAATTAAGCAGCTGCACCGAAAGGCTCCTTGCAAAAGCATTGCCTTGTTATATGGATCCAGTGAGTTCATCATTTCCAATTTACTTTGTTAAGAAATCAGAATGAAACAGAGGGTTTTGGATTTGCCTTTTCCTCTGCCATTTGCCTTAATTTCCTAGACATTTTAACTGTAATTCCCCCTTCAAGAACAAAACAAAACAAAAAACACCCCTCTGGTTCTGAACTAATTTCAAACTGTTATGTATTTTTGGAAGCTGAGTCAGATTATTTACAACCATCCAGCTCATTTGAAATCCCCCATTCCCAAATTTTCTTTTGGATTGTGGTGGATGGTAAACTTCTGAGGGTGGTAAACTGACTATAGATTGTTATTTTAATGGAAACCCGTTTTGGGATAATTTGAGGAAGAATGAGGCTAGGAAATTACTATGAATGTAAGACAATTCCACTCTCATAGGAAGATTAGACAAAAATAAAAAAAGGAATCCTACCAGTCATCCCAGAACTATTTACAAGCCAGATTTGAAGTTCCGATGGTCAGGCACAGCTTCTTTTCCACCCCCATGCAGAAATTAATAATTGCATTTTTGGGTACTCCACAACTGGCCTGCATTTACAGTTGTTTGCAGCATCCGGCAGTTGCATGTTAGGAATTTATGGTTTTTCTTGCTGAAAATCTGTGTTTTCTGACAAAAAACACCCATTGCAGACGATGTATTCACTTAATAGCCACTGAATTTGCTTAATGACTGCTGTAATTAAAGGTCATGAAATCAGACATAATCATGTGATCATGTACTTAATCAGCACCACTTACAAATATAATTCCAGGCTCAATAACATTCATAAGTTGAGGACAACCTGTATTACCATACACCAAAAGCAAACATCTCATTTTAAAATTAAAATGTTTAAGAAAAATCTTAGTTATTTTCAATTTACTGCATCATTTCTGTGTTCCAAATTGCCCACAAGAGGCTTTTTTGACCTGCAGTGTTTCAGGGACAGAAAACTCCACCTGTGTGATGTGGAGGCTAGTTTGATTGAATATGAACTTTTCTATTTTATAGCAAACCTTTGCTGTGGTGACAGCTGATCCTGAAGAAACCGAAAAATTACTGGAAAATAAATTTGATTATATCTTCTATACAGGTAATTTTCTCTTCTTGAATATCCTTTTCATGTTCTTTTAGTTATATTTAAAAATATTCATCATTAATGTCTGCACAAAACAGTGTAGTAAGCAATATTCATTGCTTTTTGGGGCATTCCACAACTGCCCTGCATTTACAGTTGTTTGCACCATCCTTGAAACTGAAAGCTTGAGATAATTTCTCTAAAATCATGGTTTAGTATCCTGCCCCCATGGGCAGTAAAATTTATCTCTGCAGTTCATTGCCTTTCTAGAAAGCACTGCATATTGAGCAATTTGCTCTGATTCTTGGTTAAGTAGCTTTATCTGTCTATCTGAGTTAATGGCAATTAGGCCAGGAAAACTGTTGCATGTGGGATTTATAACTTTGCCTGTCAACAGCTTCCAGATTGTAGATCTTGCCCACAACTGGTAGAAAAGATGAGTAGTCATACTGTAAGTAGGAAAAAGCCTATGCTTGATGCAGAACTTCAGCTATTGGAAATAATGAAAAGGATCAGTTTTGGTTTCTTCCCCGCACAATGAATGTACTTCATTTCAACCCACATAAATTTTCTCAGATTTTCTGCTTTTCTCTTTCACTGCCAGAACAGCTCTAGGTTCCCTTACAATACTTAACAGGAATTTGACAACAGTTTGACATGGGATTTTAATGGACGATCCTTAATACATTCTAGCTCTAAACTGATACTTTTCAGTAACTTAAATGAGGAAGTTGAAAGAAGAATTATCAATTTTGCAGACAAAACAAAATTGGATGAAATAAAATGTAGGAAACACTGAAATCAGTTGTTTTGCCAACTATTAATGAATTTAAACAACAACAACAAATCTGTGTGGAGTTTTGCAGATCTGTATGGAAGAATGTTAGAGGGAAATAAAACAACACAGATGGTTTTTGAGCTCAGAATTGTGAACTCTGGTACTGGATGGGAGTTATGCTGTATCTCTCTCTTGATCTAAATTTTGCCATATCTCTATAGGGAATAACCATGTAGCAAAGATCGTCATGACCGCTGCAGCAAAACATCTCACACCATTGACTCTAGAGCTGGGGGGGAAATGTCCCTGTTATGTGGATAGGTGCTGCAATTTCCAGAATGTAGCCAACCGAATTGTATGGGGAAAATGCGTCAATGCTGGACAGACATGCATCGCACCAGATTATGTGATCTGTACAGTTGAAGTACAAGAAAAGTTGTTGCCTTGCCTGCGCCAAGCTATCTGTGAATTTTTTGGCCATGAACCCAAGGAATCACCTGATTTTGGCCGCATGGTCAATGACGCGCATTTCCAGCGTGCCCGAGCTTTGCTGGAAAGTGGCCGGGTGGCCATTGGTGGAGAGACCGATGAGAGTGAGCGTTATATTGGTGAGTACACAACTTAGGACTGGAGGAAGATTAGATTTGGAGTTTGGGAAAGACAGGAAGACATGTTGTGATTATAAGAAGTCCTTATTTATCAACCATTCAAAATTACAAAGGACCTCCCCAAAATACTTACAACCTGTGGTGACATGATTGCCTTTTGAGCACCTGACAACCAGCCTGCAGTACCCTGTGTTGATGTGATCACCATGTGTGCCCCCCCCCCCCGAAACTAGCATTTACTTCTGGCAAAAAACACAACTGCAAACTATGTTTGCTTAACACAATTGCTAAGTTTGCTTAACAATCTTTACGTTCACAATTATCATTGCAAAAAAAGTAGTCTGTAAAATTGAGTCTGTCAATTTATGACTTGCTCAATGACAGGCACAATTTACAACTATAACTCTGAGGTCAATTTCTATCATAAGTCAAGGACTAACTGTACTACTTATCTATGTACGTTGGATAAAATCTGTGTGGTCACTAGGAGTTGAAAAGGATGGTGGCATAGAATCAATCAATCTTATTAAGAAGTGTATTATCAGAGATTTAAGGCTTAGATCACCCTTCCAAGTTGGTTTTTACAGAATATATTGAACTTTAGTTGTCATTGGCCACACAGGGTAATTTTGAAAGTTGAAGTTTAATGAGCTGGCAAGTGAGAAACTGGGAAAATCTGTTTTAAATAAAGCAAGAAGACAGACATGTTTTGGGGGGGTTGCGTATTGGAAATGTAGTCATGGAGAAAGCTAAAACTCTAGTTAAGTTGGACAATAAAGTTATAATACATAAAAGAAACAGATCTTTATGTGATTTTTTGCCCATTACAGCTCCCACAGTGCTGGTGGATGTGAAAGAGTGCGATCCAGTCATGCAGGAGGAAATTTTTGCACCCATCCTGCCAATATTCATTGTGAGAGATATGGAAGAAGCCATAGATTTCATCAATTGCAGAGAACGTCCACTAGCTGTGTATGCCTTCTCCTCTGACTCCAAGGTATACTGTTTAGGTACAGCATACTGTATGTGGGAGAAGCTGGATTCCCATAACCCCATCCATGGTGGCCAAAAGGGAAGACTTGCACTATTTTCAAAATATGTTTATGTGGTAAACCGTGATGAACCAACATGGTAGCAATTCTTTGCCCACTGGTAATACAGTCTGGATGATCCAATTCTACCCTTGATTATTTACTAATAAGGCAATGTTAAAAAATAATTGGCTCATCTACACATCCATAATGCAAATCACAGTACCATTTTAAAGATTATATTGTAAAAAAATAGCCTCCTTCTCACCACCAGTCCATTGCTGAAGAGGTAACAATTTCTCTATGCTGTTCTGGTATAGATAGTAATGTTTTCCCTTCTACTGTACCATAAGAGCTCCTGTGCAGACATTCTGGGGCACATGGAATCCTTTGGAGGTTTGCAATCTTCTAGATTCCAGTTGCACTGGATTCCTGAAGAAAAGCCCTTTCTTTCTTTGTCCCTGGACATCCCCCAGCCTTTTGGAGGTAATTTCAACTATTTATCAGAGCTAATGGGGAGATTCTCCCCATTCCCCTCTCCTCAGAATTTGGCACTGATATTTTTGCTCTATACTTCAGGAGTCTCCTATGCATTTTAAAAGCACAGTCTTTCTCTTTATCTGGGAACAGAGACGTTGAGAGAAACTCCTGAGTTTATGATGTAAACGCCTTGGTTGAGAGTAGAATGGGATGACTCACAGTGGCCAGGTTGGCACATGATAGGTGGTTATGGATGGGTGATCATGACCAGATCAGAGTGGTTGACTTGGCCCAGGTGTGTGGGTACGACCCTCTCAGTGTAGAACAAAGCGGTCGGCGCAAACAAGTTGGCATGGATGACTTGGTGAGGATGACTCATCATTGCTTAGGTGGGTGCAGATGGGTGGCATGACCCAACTGGCATGGAACAAGTTTCCCCAGGAAACTGCATGTGGAGACAACCAGGTGTCCCACCAGAAGAAACATCAGCCCCTAACATGCACTGGAATTTGGCAGTGGTCAATCCAGTGGCCCCAAGAACAACTTTCCCATTTGCCTTCTTCCTTCTCCTCCTCCTCCTCCTCTGGCCAGGCCTGGCCTGGCCCCCCCTTGCCTCACCTGCCTGGCTGCTCCTAAGGGATGCATCAAGGAAGCTGTCTAGAGGTCCCTTGTTGGCTCAAGCCCTCAACAAACACTTGCCTAGTTGCCTAGGGTTCTTCTCCACTTGGCAGATCAGCATGCCATAGTTCTTTCTGCAACTCTCCAAGGAAAAGAAGAGAGAAGCCCACCACAATCCCTTTCCATTTCTTACCAGCAAGCAAGCGGGTGGTTGCTGAGGGCTTGGGACTATGCTAGCTGGCTGGCTGTGGGTGGGTGGGGGAACCTTACATGATGCATTCCTTCAGCAGTAGCCAGGCTGGCAAGGCGGGCCAGGTTCAGCCAGAGAAGGAAGAAGAGGATAATGGGGAAATTGTTCTCAGGGGCTGCAGATTGACCACTACAGTACTCTAGTGCACATTATGGATTGATGTTTCTTCTGGTGAGGCACTAAGTTGTCCTCACACCCAGTTGGCTGTGGAAACTTGTTCTATGCCAACCAGGTTTTGCCCACCCATCTATGCCCACCCGGCCCATTCATTTGTGTCCGCCATGGGTCATCTGTACCAAGTCATCCATGCCAACCTGGACATGCACACTCTGTGCTGACCCACCATGCCCACCCATCTGTGCCCATCTGGTCGCGCCCATCCACCTACCCATGCCGATCTGGCTGTGGTGAGTTGTCCTAGACTCGAGTGAGAGCATCGATTGTGTTAACCAAACTTGTGATTTTTATTTCCATGCCTCACTCTTGGCTCTGTATTAGCACATGGAATTAGAAATCAGGGTGGATGACTCTAAAACAGGTCATGTGCATTTTCAATCTCTTGATTTATTTTTTTTTACTAAGATTCATAAAAGATTATTTTTGCCTTTCAATTTACTTTTAGGAAATGCCTAATACATCTACAATATTAGTCATTTTGTGAGTGTGTCTGCGATACATTTTCAAATTCAAAATGTTTGTAGTGGCCCAAAGGTTAAAGACCCTTGTTTGTATCGTGACCCTTATTATTATAGACCTGGGACCTGATGGAACTCGTGTTTGTAAGATTAAGGATGGGACGCCTAATACTCTTCTATTCTTTTTTTCTTCATAGGTTGTGAACCAGGTACTGGATCACACTAGCAGTGGTGGCTTTTGCGGTAATGATATTGGCATCCATGCAACATCGATTGCCCTACCATATGGTGGCATAGGTAAGATTAGCCTTTTATCTTCTAAACTGTTTCCATTTCCCACCCTGCAGCCTTATCCTTACCTTTCAACATGAAAAGATCTCCCACTTGATCTTTTTCATTCAAAGACATTAAGAGTCCATTTTTTTTACTATGTCCAACATATTTGCAGATTAAATCAAATGTGACCAAATAATAAATATCCCACTGTACATAAGCTACGTGGTCATTTATAAATAAAGGAGATGGCTGGAAATGTGGACTACATTATACTGCTAAATGGGAATAAAAAGAGAGGGCTTGCATTTTTTATTTTGTAAGTAGTACTACTAACAAGATCAAAAATATTCAACGGAATTAAGTAGTTCCGGTTCTGGTCACACATTATACCAGAGGTGGTATTCAGCAGGTTCTGACCAGTTCTGGAGAACTGGAAGCGGAAATTTTGAGTAATTTGGAGAACCGGCAAATACCACCTCTGACTGGTCCTGCCCCCATCTATTCTCTGCCTCACGAGTCCCAGCTCATTGGCTGGGTCTTCTTTTGTTGCCCTGCACAGGAGAACAGAGCTGGAAAGAAGGTTAGCGGTGTGGGGGGGGAATGGAGATTTTGCAGTATCCTTGCCCTGCCATGCCCACCAAGCCATTACCACCGAGCCATGCCCACAGAATTGGTAGTAAAAAATGTTGAATCCTACCAATGCACTATACTAAATATAGGTTAATATTCTGTATAAATCAATATTGCATTTTGGCTACAAAACATGGTTGAACTGATGTGCATCTTTAACTTCTGTTTAATTTTTAGATATGATAGATAGATATCATGATAGATAGATATCAAAAAAAGCAGTAGTTTAATTTTATTGTAGATTAAGGCAGCTGTAGTTCAATGATCATGAAACCTAGCAGGCTACCAAATTATTATCTAATCAAGCTTTGCTTGTCTCTACTGAATTCTCTTCTTTAGTCTCTTCTTTAAAAATATCCATTTGAATATGAAACCTTTTATAGTTAAGTACTATGGGGAAAAACCTTTTTAAGGACAGATATTTCCAGCCTGATGAAAAAGAATAACTAGATTTGATCTGAATTTTTCCTTTTTAATATTGCAGGACACAGTGGCTTTGGCCAATACCATGGCAAATTTTCTTTCGATACGTTTACTCACTTACGTGGCTGTCTTTTGCGCTGCATGGGCTTGGAGCTAATGAACAAAATGCGCTATCCTCCGTACAGCAATAAGAAATTGAGAGCAATAGTTTGTGCTATGGAGATCAGGCGCCACTGGTTGTGAAATTAGCCTGTGAGGCCTTGAATCACATCACCTGCATTCTTAAAGAACTTCAATCAAGAATTTTGGTGTAGTTGAGATTCCCTCCTGCCTTTATTAGCTCGTCCTAGAATTTTGCCTCATCACCTTCAAAGATCCTTCAAAGGCGCTCTCTGTTTGACAAACCTTATTTTCACCATCTTTGCATCTTATGACTTTTCTTTATCTTGTATCAGCTTCTATAAATTCAACATTTAGTAGTCGTTAGAAAACTTAGGGACACTCTCCAATTCTCTTTGCCCAGTTTTGGGTACAGAACATATCTTCATTTCCAGCAAGGACTCATTATACAATTAATTAATGTTTCTGGGTAAACTTTCATCTTGATTTTAACACTTAAAGCCAATTCTGCTTCAAAGTTTATAAGCATTAGATTCTTTGCTAAAAACACAAGTACGGTGAAGTAATGATTCTGATTAATATATTTGTACAATAAGAATAGCAACATAAATGGTCTTTGTGAAATAATCAAATTATTTCTTTGTGAATATTTAAATATTTGATCCATTAAACAATTTAATTTTCAAAGAAATTCAAAGCTAAGCTAATGCCAGTTGTTATACATAAATATATTCTGTCAACAATGCATTTTCTACAGTATATTTGGATGCTCTAGATATGCCCTCATTAATTATATTTCTTTCAATACATTTCTCTACAGTTATAGTTCAGATTCATTATTCCATCAGTGTTTCAGTTATTATTCCATTATTCCATTCGTTATTCCATTCATTATTCCATTATTCCACTACCCAGCACAAAGCATAATAATTTAGAACTATATTATGTCCTATCAAACTCAGAGACTTATTTTTATGTAAATCTCCTAATTGCAAACTTGCTGGAATTTCCTGCAACCTTGAATTTTCATGTAAATGTTTTGCTTCTGCAATAAATATCTTGCATTAAAACTTGAAAATAGATGTCTAATTATTTAACAATGCTCTCAATTGACATAGTGTGTTACTTAATAAAATTAACCAACAATTAATTTCTAAACCAGGAGCTTTTGATTGAAATATAGATATTGGTGAACAAAGGCAACAGAAAGAAGTAAATAAATACTCAAGTGAATGTGTAAGCAATTTACTACAATAAAAATAAACAGCACCTTGGCATTCTAAAGGAAGTAATAACTTACTAGACAGTAGCAGGTAAATCACAGCCAGTCAGTGTTGTGTTTCTTGAATGGGTACAAGAGGTTTTCAGAGAGTAATAGAACAGATTACTGAATCATTGATTAATAGTGATTGACCACGATGCATCCTCTTTTTTGCAAAACATTTGTACAGTGTTTCCAACCTCTGCAAGTTTAAGCTGGGCATTTCAGCTCCAAAAAATTCTTCTAGTCAGTATGCTATCTGGAGAAATTCTGAGAGTTGAAGTCCACCCAACATGAGGTTGAGAAACACTGCATTAATAGAATGAAGAAGTCATAACATAAGACTTCTATAGGAACAGTATCTCCATCCAGATTGCATTTACTGAGGGGGTGGGGACTAGAATATTGGGGAAGATATTACAATACAATTAAACCACAGCTTGGCTTAAGACAAAAGAGTGCCTCAGAAATGTAAATTTATAGAAGGAAAAAAGAGCATAAAAATGATTTGAAAATGTAAAAGGACTAAATTAGATGGAAGTCTTGTTTGGATATGAGCAAAGTATCCAAAACCAATGCCAGGTAACACATAATATAAATACTACTTCTGTCAACTTAGATAACCTCATTTCATAGTTAGATAATATTTTAGCTTTCTAAATCAATATAGCACCTTTTATTCAAGCTATTATAGGTTGTTGGTTTATTTTTTATACATATCTAAAGCTTTTACACATTGTGACATGAGTTTCAATTATATTTTTTCTGTATCTTGTACAGAGGTGGATTCATAAACTGTACAGATGCAGAGAGATCACTCAACAAGACGTCCATAACAAAGAACATTTATTGGTTCATCAGGTATCTTCATTACTCACGTTTGTGACAAAGTTCTTCTTTAATGACCAATCCCTTTGTAAATCTGCCTTGTAGGTGAAAGATGGTTATCTCCTAACCCATCTCACAGCAGTAGAAAAGCTGCTATCAGTTCATGAGTGCAGGCAAGAATGGAGGGAAGCCTCCCCCAACCCCTTGAGGGTCAATTTAGTGACCAATCAGGATTACAGATGTGGCCACGTGACATAAACTACATTTCCCAGGATACCTTTAACTACATTTATCATGATGCATTCCCTATAGGGGACAGCTCATAATTCCTAAGTAACTATCCAATTCCCATAGACTGGCTGGGGCAGCACAATATTCATTCAAGGAGATCCTGAGAAAATCCTGAATTGTGAGCCATAAGAGTAATTTGCTGAGATGGACGAATACAGAAATCATATAAATAAATTTTAAAAAATGATGTTCTTGCCTCTCCCACTAGAGATGCCATGCCATGGAATGGATTCCAAAATATGTTTCTCTTCACAAGCACATTACCTATGATGACAATATTGATACTCAAGTCATGCTGCTGGCTCAGAAATTCTGGGAGTTGAAGTCCACAGGTCACAAAGTTGCCATTGTTGCCGACCCCTGATCTATGTACGACTAAGTTTCTTGTCATTACCATTAACTAAATGAAATGGTGAATCATAGGGCAACAGTTTTTCAATCAAGGTACCTTACACTGGCTAACTTACAGAATTTGCCCCAAATCCAGGACCCACAACGTTGGGTCATTCCCATGAATGGGGGATTTGTGGCTGCAGTTGTGGTTGCGCTCCTGCTGTGGTCATCTAATGGACATCTTGATTCTGTGAGTTTCCTGCCAGTCTTGCCTTTCCTCCCTCCCTCCGTAGTAAGGAATCATCATATGGTTCTTAAAGAAGCAACATATTTAAGATGCATGAAGAAAAGCCTCAATATTTTTTATTGCTTTGCGTGCCCCTTTCCAGCCACACAAACAGGCTGTGTGTACATCCCATCTTTGTTCAGAAACTCAAGGCACATTGGTAGTGCTCCATCCTCCTTCAACAACCCTGTTTAGTAAGTTGTGCTGCAAGTTGCTAAATGAGCTGCTGTGGCTGCAGATGGAGTAAAAATTGGATCTCTCTGGGGTGCCTTAGCCCAGTGGTCGCCAACTGGTGGGCTGGGGACCACTGGTGATCTGCAAAAAAAGTTTTGGTGGTCCCCAGAGAAATGTCTCCCCCCGCAAAGCACTCCCCCCAAAGCAATCCAGGCTCCATGGGAACACAAAGCTGCACTACCGACATGGCCTGCTCACCTGCTGGCCCCCACCCTTCGACCGAGTGCAAACCTTATCTTGAGAAGAGCCACGTGAGCTGGAACTGGAAGGTAAGACCAATGGCGGGGGAGGGAAAACCGCCCCAGGGTGGCTTGCTGATGTTGGTGGGAAAGTCGGTTCCATATTCCAGAGCTGCAGTAGTCAGAAGACTGGCCCTTTGGTCATCCCGGAGCAGCTCCTCCAGTCCATGGCAGGCCGGTGCACCCGGGTGGAGGAGCAGCTACTCCGGGATGACCAAAGGGCCAGTCCAGTGACTACTGCAGCTCTGGAATATGGGACTGACTTTCCCACCAATGTCAGCAAGCCACCGTCAGTCAAAATTCATATTAGCGGTCCGCGCCTTAAAATTATGAGTTTGGTGATCCCTGAGATCTGTGCCTAGCCCACAGGAGGTTAGATGTTCCTATTTTTAAATTCTCACAGTTTCCTACAACTCACTAGAGAAGCTGGCAGAAATTCTAAACTGTTCTGGGGTGAGAATGGCAAGGTACTACATTGTAAAAATAAAAATAAATTTGTCCATGCCAATGCAGAGGTGGTATTCAGCAGGTTCTGACCAGTTCTGGAGAACTGGTAGCAGAAATTTTGAGTAGTTCGAAGAACCGGCGGTAACCTTCCCCCTGGAGTGGGGAGGGAATGAAGATTTTGCAGTATCCTTCCCTTGCCATGCCCACCAAGCCACATCACACCCATCAAACCACGCCCACTGAATCGATAGTAAAAAAATTTTGAATCCCACCACTATGCCAATGGTGTTCTAACGGTGCTTCAGTTGTTTAGGGATTGCACCCAAGGACCTTGGAGCATCACTTGGAACACAATCGGTATTGAGTGCAAAACCTGAACACCACTTGGGGTTATACTGGGCCTGGGGGAACCCCAGATTATTCTCCTCTCCCAGTTCATCACGTGAATATTGACGTTTGTTTAAAATAGCAACTGAAATAGTCGTAGTCGCCTCAATGACCCTGGTGTTCAAATGGTGCTTTAGGCACCCTGGGTGCAATGCCAAAACATTTGGAGCACCACTTGAACACTATTGGCCTTGACTAATTCCCCATTGGTCAGTTGCAAAAGGCAGCTACATCCTGCGATGTTATCTGTTAACACCATTAAACATCCACATCTGCCTGTCCCAGGTCCTTGGGAAAGGTTTTATAGGTGGACAAAAATGCAAAATTCAGTCTGAACATTTGGCAGACTGCATGATGAGCAAACATAAAATAATAAAATAAAATATTATCAACATAATTATGCCATGTCAAAAGAAGAAGGAGACATTATGGTCAAGACATGATCCCAAACATTGTCAGGCCATGCATTTCAAGTGCATTTGGGGGGAGTACCCAGTCACTGGAACTCTGGAAGTGAGGTGCAAGTACCTTTTGGAGGATCCATCATAACTTTGAATGGTCACTAAGCAATCAGTTGTAAGTCCAGGAGTACCTGTATGAGATATTTTCAGTCACATTGAAGCATTGATCACGGTCAGATAAAAACATTGTTTCAAGCCTTTATAAAGTTTTGAATTGTTGAAAGGCTGCTTAAAATGCCTTTCTTCTGAGGATTTGATTTTCCTGCTGGGAGGGCTCCGGTGCAAGGATACAGACAACTGCTTGAAAGCTGGTTCTTTTTATTTTTCAGGAAGGCGAGAGATAGCAAGAAGTCTGC